CCTGATCTCAACACTTTTATTCTCGGCTCAGAGACTATTTACAGTCCTGCGTCGCTGACGGCGTTTGCTGATGCTATCGTGGCGCTTATGGGCCGCGTCAAGATGGGCAAGACGCTCGTGGCGGCCAAGCGAGTCTATTTTGGCGTTGGGGGCAGTGTCGATGGCTTCAGGGAAGAGTGCAGTCGGCGGGGCTGTGTAGCAAGCGAACTCGAGTTTGAGGGATTGGGAGAGGGCGGGGTGAGGAGATGTTTGGTTGAGGTGCAGATGTATTAGGGTGAGAGACATTTTTTGGGGCTGAATGTATAAGGGACCAAAAGTAAAGGGTATCTAGGAATTGCTACCATATGTGACAAAAAGAAATCTAGTAGGGCAATGGAAAGTCCGTCAACGCTTGCAACATGGAGTAGCCAAGCAACAACGCACTCTAGGCAAAAAGAGAAAGATTGTTACAACACACAATCCCGCTATCTCGCCCTCACTACAACAGTCGGTCCAGGCAACTCCCTTCTTCCATCCGCATCCTCAGCGCCCCGCATAAGTCTCCTATATGTATCCCCCTCAGCTCTCAACTGCTCTCCTCGACTAACCTGCAGTCTCTCAACCCCTTTACCAATAGTATCGATATGCACCTGCACAGGAATTCCACTCTTGTAGCCCAGCATCTCAGGCGCCGCAACGCCTTCACGCAGATTTTCCAGCCCGGCTTGAATTTCTTGGAGCTTGAGCAGCGTTTCGGAAACGTGCACGACAGCTTTTTGGCGGTAGGCGCTGATGTTAGAGAGGAGGATGAGCGATCGCTTGTTTGCTTTGACGTTGCCACGGTTGCCACCGAGTTTTGTCCAAAGCGATGACAGGAGTTCTTCCTGAGAGCGGGTAATGGACTGGTCGTCGGTAGTGGCAATGTCGAAAATGGTGGTCAAACGTTCCTCAAGATTGTTGAGGACGAGGAGAAGCGCTTGGGCGGTTTCAATCAGTCGTGTGATCTCGTCCTTGTTCTTGCTCACGTGCAGCACATATTGGTCGAAGATGCGTTCTTGGAGTGAAGGCGGCGGCGCGACAAATGCGCCCGTCATCTGGCGGATTATCTTTCCGACAGTGCCAACAGAGGCATCTTGCTCTGAAATACCTGAGAGCACGTTCATGGTCCAGGTGTTGGTTGCGATGACGCGGTCCATTGCAGCACCTATCCGGCTGTTGTACCGTGATAAATCGACGGAGGCCTCATTTGCCGTTTGGATAAAGTATTCGAATTCGTTTTCTAGCGCTTTTCGGCTAGGAAGACGCGAATGCTTCACTAGGATGCGCAGATCGCGAATAGCGAGCTCAGAGTTCTTGATTGTCGCAGGCAGCGCCGACGTGTCTTTTGATGCATCAAGAATATCCTCAAACTTGCCTTGGACATTGATAAGCTCTTCGAAGTCGGCTTGGTTCCCAGCAAATGAATCTGTAGTAGCACAAGCGGGGATGAGGTAGGAAGAGCCTGGTAGGGCGCACACAGGACCCATGACGGCGTTTGAGATCGTGGAGCGAAGCATACCGGATGCCAGCTGAATCGCAAATACCAAGATCCCGACGCCCAAGACAACACCGAGAAAAGGCTTGATGAAGTGTTTGACAGCGTAGGAGACAATATCCAGAAAGTGACCAAAGATGGGAGCACCCACATTTTCCCAAAAGAGATTGACATAGTGCCACGGGCTTACTTCTTCCTGTTTCTGCCTTGGTGGCCGACGATGGCCATCAGTTGACCCCTGTGCCGAGGATCTGCGAGGCGTACGGCGTGAATTTGATGAAGCGCTCTGTTGCGTATTTCTGGTTCGATTTCGAGGTTGCGATTTTTGGACAGGCGATCCGTCATAACCTGAGCTTTCCATGGAGGGCATGATGAGGCTGGGCCCAGAAGAGTCCCGTGTATGCGATCTTTGGTCTCTCTGAAAAGGTCTGGGAGTAGTTGTGTCGGGACCTATCCTCTGGGACTGGCTACCTTTTGTACGGCTTGCCTGCTTCCTATCTGGGGTATCCTGTGACTGCGCTGTGGGCGTCGAATGACTGAGATGATGGCGCTTGGGCCTGGGGGTAACAATGGAGTCTGAGACAGGCTCTTGCACGACCTCTTTGTCTGAAGCTTCTAGTTCTTCGTCACTAGCAGCGTCGCTCGCCGAAGGAGTAGAGCCGCCTTCGTCAGATGTATAGTCAGCGTTGCCCCAACTACTTCCCAGGCTGCGATCTAGGCGCCTGGTGCGCGCGCTCATGATATGTGATGGAGAAGTTGACGTCAAGCGGATACAGAGCCAAGGTTAGGACAAGAAGGCAGTGCAGGAAAAAATATAAGAACTAGGCAAGCAATGTCACAGTGACGATTCAACTTTCACTGGACGTGAATATACTCTGATTGCAGGGGGGCTGGGTAGAACAGGTCGCCACTGCTAGAGGCGTGACGTGGTGCGGGGCCAATCAGGTGTCGGGCGCAAGCTGCATGCCTTTGTGTGTGCCGCGAAAATGTCAAGACTCTTTCACTATCAGTACATGGTTGAGACAAGAATCATGGCGCATTACCTGTTGTGTTATTACTAGAGTATGTAGTCTATGTATGTATGTATGCATGTATGTAAGTGTACACAGGTGGGGGGTGGTGTTGTCTATCCCTCCAACGCGTCCACGTCATTGTGCTATGTTTTGTTTGGGCTAGTCTATGCCAAGGCCCACTAGCCTAGAAAGTGCATCTTGACCTTCACGTCAATGCACTCGACGGCTCAAGACTTTGCAATGCCACCATTGCGCCAGCTTCCATTCGCGCTGCAGGCTGTGAGACAGACAAAAATAAATACCCGGATATGGAGCCAATATGGGCGTCTCGTTGCGAGGAGCTGCTCGTGCTCTGCGCCACAGCAATTGCAGCACACAGTAACCGTCTCATCTGAAGACCCCGCCAGTGCGCGACTCAACACAACAACCACTACCCCTCCTACCCCTCCTACAGACCACCGGACGCTCGCGCAAACGCACAACCTCTTCATAACTTCGCCATATAGTCCTGGCTCGCCGCTCATTCTTCCCAATGGCGCCTATGTCTTCCAGAAGCTGCAATCCTTCCTACGCGCGCAATACCCCCAGTTTGGCTTCCAAGAGGTGATCACGCCCATAATATATAAGAAGTCGCTTTGGGAAAAGTCTGGGCATTGGGAAAACTATGCCGAAGACATGTTCAGCGTCCAAGGGAGGGGAACGACTGCTCAAATACCTGAAGCTGACGGTGGAGAGGATGGCGAGTTTGGATTGAAGCCAATGAACTGTCCAGGCCATTGCTTGTTGTTTAGAGACGAGATCAAGAGTTACCGCGATCTGCCAGTCAGACTTGCTGATTTCAGTGCATTGCATCGGAACGAAATCTCAGGCGCATTAACGGGCTTGACGAGGGTCCGGCGATTCCACCAAGATGACGCGCACATCTTCTGTCGCCCTGATCAGATCTTGGCAGAAATTGAGCAAACACTCAAGTTTGTAGGCATGGTATACAACACGTTTGGACTAGGGCCATACAAGTTGCTTCTGTCCACAAGACCAAAGGATAGCTTCATTGGCACTATTGAAGAATGGGACCGCGCAGAGGAGCAATTGACAACTGCGCTAAACAATATCGGTAGTGAATGGGCCATCAACGAAGGAGACGGAGCATTCTATGGCCCCAAGATCGATATCGTCCTGAAGGATTCAAATGGCAAAGAACATCAAACGGCTACCATTCAGCTCGACTTTCAACTACCACAACGTTTCGATCTGCAATATCAGGCATCCCCCGAAGAGTTAGAGACACGCTCACAGAGTTCTATGGATAAGGGTCTTGACGCGGCATTTCGCCGCCCTGTGATCATCCACCGTGCTATCTACGGATCAATTGAGCGCTTCATGGCCCTGCTCATTGAACACTATGCGGGAAAATATCCCTTTTGGCTTTCTCCTCGGCCGGCTGTAATACTATCGTTGAATTCTAACCCCGAGGTTTTGGAACATGTCTCGCGCGTCCAATCAGTGCTGTCGGGTTTGAGATCACAAGACGCATCCGAAGCGTCACCATCATCACCAAAGCCTCTACCTCTGTCAACCATTCACCTTCCTGTGGACATCGATACAAGTGATCGCCCCCTTGGCAAGAAGATTGCAGAAGCAAGAGGAAAGAAATACAACCACATCATCGTCGTTGGCGGCCGCGAAGCGGATAGTGACAGCATGAACCTGCAGATTGTAAACCAGCCTCACGAGGACACTACAATTGAAGTTTTGGAAAAGCATCTCGAGAGACAGCTCACCGACAAGGAACGTTCAAAGGGCGCAAATGTTCCCTTAAGTGCCGCTAGAAAGTACTTCGAGCAGCTTGCCAACTCTTTTCTATAGTTCAACTTCCTCCAATCGTAGCATTCGCTACAACCATGCAGGAGCAGTTCATCTGTCATGCAAGATTTTAGGATACCTTTTAGAAGAAAAAGAACTATATTATATTTGAAGCCCTAGCTCCAGTGGCGTACTGGAGCTACGAGAAGAACCCTTTTGGAACTTCACCTCTGCATATTGTGTTTCTCTCCACTCAGCCATTTTACCTTAATACACCAATCTCTACTCGACGGAAGTACTGATCATCAACCCCGAATTCAGAATCAAGCTTCCCACTGGGCGATGCAACCAGACGCTTTGCCGTGAGGTACGCTGACTTCTTGGTGTGTCGGTATTGTGGAGTGCGGTAACTTCTTCTCTGAATGCACTCGATACATTCAATGGGCAAATACTCACCATTTTGTATTCAACTTTTCATCATGGTATGCATCTCGCAACTGCGGAACGTGGTTGACGGGGGAAAAAAAAGAGTTACAAAGCAACACTCCACAGTCGCCGACAAGCCACGAAAAGTGCAATATCTGAAAACGAGTTCATTTTGTGCCCTTATGCCTTAGAGTACTCCATCAAACGAGTCAGGGTGAGATGTAGACAGTTTTGTATGGTAGTATTCAAGGAACATTAGGGTGTGTGCTTTTGCCGATCGCAGAGTCAAAAGATGATAGCTGCCCAGTTGTACACACATGTCCTTTGAGATGTTTGTTGCTAAGATCTAGATAAGGGACGCTGGAGAGTGCACTGTTCGAGGGAGACACTGGGCTATTCCATATCTCCAGTGCAGGGCGAGGAGGTCTCTGTGATGCGGGCTCCTGTTCGACCGAGCGCATCGTCAAATACTGCGTCACAAGCATACAGATGGCCACTAGGACAACATTCAGTACAGAAAGAGAAATAAGGTGCAGGTACTAACCATCGGTCAAACACAGCGACAGGCAAACATGACCCCGTCTTGCAAAATCTTGGCTAGCCATGAGGACGTTGAAGGTAATAGAGCTGACGAGCATGATGACCGCGCCGACGACGTTCCGTACCAACATGACTTGCAAATTGCTCAGAGAAGAGCCCCATACCGTCTTGCGTACGCTTCTTATCCATAGTCCGATTCCTTCGGCGTTGGAATCGTTTGCCCCTCCAGCGCTATTGGCTGTGCTTGGTATTCGAGGTATTTGCAAAGCCACAGCTGGACGAAGTTGCCATATAAAGATCCCCGTCAGAGCTAGGTTGGCAGTAACATCGAGTGCCACAATGAGATAGGCAGTCGGCGGACGAAATCCGATGCTACATTCACGGCCGGCACCTGGGAATACAACTATTCGACTGGCAAACTGTGAGCCCGTTACTGCAATAAAGCTGCTCACTACCAGAAACCCTCCAACGACGTATAGTGGATCACGCCAGCGATTGATGAACGGAGCCCGGACGATGCGAACACGCTCGAGCAGAAAAAGATACCTGAAAGCATAAGCACGTTGCCATTTGAATAGGGTTATGGTAGACTGACAGAGCGACCTTTGTCCCTCCAAACCCAACAACACAGATGATAAGAGCAGTTTGGCATTCATTATATCCATGCAAGCCGGGCCCTGTGACCACCACCAAAGCAGCGGCAATTATGAGGATCGTGCAAAAGAAACCTTGCACGAATACTAGAACGTCTGAGACTCTGCTCTTGGACTGTTGACCAGCCATGCGGCCTGCTCGATAACCTGCGCACAGTGAGCAAGGATCAAAACTAACAGCGATCACAGCAGTTCATGACTCGGTATGAGCTGTACTTACCTTGAACGAATGCAAGGAGAAAGGCATACAAGATACATGCTACCACTACGGAAGCACGCACGATTGAACTCTCATTGCCCTCAGATATGTCCTCGGCTGCATTACGAACGGTTAATGGCAATACAACTGCTGGCTGTGTTGACATTATGAGGGCCAGAAATGGCAAGAGTCGCATGTCTGTTGCTGGCATGACTCGGCTATTGTTGTTATAAAGAGATTAGGAAGTCATTTTGTCTGTATGGGTCATATATAAGTAAGCGAAATTTGCCCCTTGGTTGAATAGCGCTGATCCGTGCTAATATATGTGCTTAGATGCAGGTGTCGGAATCTTGGTACATGACAGGCCTGCCCTGGCTGCAACCTTTTGGGCTTCCACGAACCATGAAAGCATCCCTGGGATGACTCCAAAGTGTTATCGGTAACCTTGATGCCAATGCCATGCATGCGATGTGAAACGGTCAGTGCATTTCGGATTCCTACTGAGCGGACAGTTTGGAACTTGTACGCGGTGATCGTCGGCAAGGATTGTGACCGCTGTTGTGTTCAGTAGAATTTAGTAGCTCCGAACATGAAAGATTGGGATCGACACGTACATAGCCACCGTTGGTACTTAAAGGGTCCAGAGACTACCAGGGTGTTTCGTGGAAGACAAAGCCAGACTAGGATGTCCCACGGTTGCGAGGCTGTCTAAGGAAACTTTGGCGATACTTTCACCACCCTTGGGAACACGATTGGGTAGTGGCCGGCACCTGCACGCCAAAAAGCTTGAATATCATCGCCCCACCAAAATTTCCCCTGAATCCTATTTCCAATCAGAGTTCCTATAGAGTGATCTTTCTGGGTATTTACATATGTTGCTCGCCACAATCAACCCACATTTACTGATCTACTTGTCGCTGGGCACCTACTTATTCTAATGCACCTCCTCCGGGCCGACATGGTAAGTACTTCAAGACTTCAAGTTGATCCCCTATACTCTACTACTACAACACCACGAAGTGAGGCTATTGATAGCTTGCAAGCACCCGACATGCGTGTCATCTTTTCTCCACTCACACGTTTCGACACGGCATGCTGACGATGCTTCTACAGCCGATTCGCTGCTTTCACAACTACCCTGGGCGATGTGATGCTTACTTCGACGACCAGAGGAGGTTTATGATTGCCATTCCTCCTACCTAAATCGGAATAGCATTCGAGGAGAAAAGGGCCTGAAGAGGACACAACTACTTCCGCCCTTACTCCAACACTCCACATATAAGAAAGTAATGATATCGGTGCGAAATGGCCAACTGTATTACAGGACTTGCATACGCGAGGCAGAACGGACCAAGTACCTGCATCGAGTTCTAAACCACATTCGAGTGTATCTCAACACACAGACGTAGAATATCGATGTCGAAAAACAACTACTCTTGGCATTTTCCGTACATAGCCCAAGAAACCAGACCCTCTCGCATATTTTTGCCATCAGTAACTCTCCCTCCCACGTCCTCTCGGCTAGAAAACCCAGATGAACCCTCAACCCTACCGCCATGAGATCTTCCGTCCGCTCCGCCCGCGAAGAAGGAATGGTAGCGGCTTCATTAGACCAGCATATCTCAATCTGTCCGAGCAATCCCACCCCTTGCCCTTCGCAAACTTTATCTCTCTCTCTCTCTCTCTCCCCGGCGACCAGAATGGTTCGCATACATGTTTCCTTGCTTCCTGGATTTGGTGCGGTACCGCATGCAGCTTATCCAAGGTCTGCCCTCGTGGGCCCGAAATTTCGTCCCATTTGTTCCTGCCAAGGGATATCCCCTCTCCTCCCATGTCCCCAGATATCTCTTTATTAGTCGGCTTTCCGGGGTGTGGGATACTAGATTTCTGGTCTACTTGCATGGTGCTTACTGGTATTACGCACCGGTCCGGTCAGCAAGGATGAGGGGGTTGGGTGGGGGTCCGTTGGGGAAGTGGGGCTGTGCTACAGACATCGAATTTTGTATGTGTTTAATGTATGACGACGCGTAGTTTGTGGATGCTGAGATATAGGGACTGGAAATTCCGAGTTTGGGTAGCTACACGGTATGGTGTTCCCTGTGCATGCAGGCTGTGCCGCGCTGTCGTCGAGTGAAATGCATAGGGTTCATGTTTCTTTTCCTCCGCTAGAATGTGTCGAAGTGCCTATCTTGAGGTGGAAAAAGAGAGTAGCTATGTTCTTGTTCTAGTGAGTTAACTAGCAACTTCATTGCAAATACCTGATATTCAGATCTTGGCAGTTGACAGCGTAGTTGGACGCGTCTACACTACTTGGCTCATTCTCTTAACACCCAAGCTGAGACGGGCCGATATACACCTCCTCTCTCTACCTCACCTTGTAAGCGGAACCGCGGGAGCTGACCCATGCAGATGATGTGTTCTCATTCAACTTACAGCGCGGTCACCTGAGCTGCGGGATTTCCGGCAGTTGTTTTTATCGTTCGATTTTCGGATGCGTCTTCCACCAATGCAGTGACGGGATCCGATAGTTTGCACGGCATTGTCAACAAAGCAATGCCGTGTATGTATCGAGATATAGCGCAAACGGGTCTGATGTATTGCTACCGTACGGACACGTAATCAACCAGGTAATGTGCAAATTCGACGTGCGGGAGGTGGATGTGTTTGTCAGATTACTGTGTATGTAAGCACGGATGTGGAGGAAGGGTAGAGTCTGGTCGCTTCTTCCATGGCCAGGCACGAAATCTGTCTCTGCATCTAAATTTTGTGGAGTAAGAAAAATCAAAGTAGATATTATGCTATGCATGAGCACTGATGGACCTGCTCTTCGGGTTCCCCGATCTGTGGTTCGGGTGGGAAAATGGAGGCTAGATTACTAGTTGCACAGAGTTTGGGAACACTGAAGTTGAACTAATCTGTCTTTCGCTCGTACAGGAATGTATTTTTCATGTAGGTGTTGTTAGGCTAGACATCCATGACACCCGTTGTACTAAGTTTACACCCTTTTGGATGCAGACAGGTGAATGTATGTCATTCCATATGCCTCCCATGACTATTTGCCCTTCCGTTCAAGCTTGGGTGAACGATTCTTGATTTACCGTTCATCCACCCGCTATTTTCTCCACTTTATTACCGCAGTGATGATCTTATGCTCACCCGTCTAAACGTTTTGTATTGCGACCCACATTCCGCAACTATGGGAGCTCGTATCGAGAGTACCTGGTCGTGTGGACAGGTTGCGAGTCATGCTTCCCGTCACTCTGACTCACTCGAAGTGATTTATAGGCTGCTAAATGATATAGAAGAGGCAGGGTAAGTCCTCATACTGCATATGTGAACATAGCTATAGCATCGCGCAACCAAGGTATCTCATTTGAGATCCGACAAAGAAGAAACGTATGATAGTAAGGAATAGATATCTGAAGGATCTATGGCTTTCAACGGAGAAAGCAACACGAGTAGTGCCAATATATGTATTCGCATATCCTCCGTCTCTCCATTGCACCCTCTACACCAGATTACCCACAGCCCAAGCATCCCGTCCGAGAGACTACAATTCAGGCTTAAGGTCCAAATGCGATTGCTCAATCATTACCCTGTCTTACACACCAATCGCTCCAGGCTTCCTCGTTTCCAGCATCAGTGCAGAAGGAAACTCGAGACGACCCCCTTTTTTTTAACAAAATCAGCGTCACTCTACCCAGAGTCGCCACAATATGCAAAAAGAGGCTGTCGAGTCATGTTAAGGTTGGTACCGCAGCGGGCGCTTGCGCAGCATGACATCGATGCAAGGGCTGCTTACCTTTATTGGAAGCCTTCGATCGCCGCCGTTTGGATGATCGGGCGTTCCGTTCGGGCGGGTATGAGATGTGAGAAATAAATGTCTCAAACGCTTGGCGCGTAAAGAAACATGAGGCGTTGAGTTTATGACGTAAGGAAATGCATGGAAGTGATGGATGCTGAGGCTTTCAATGGTGGAGCGATAGGATCTGAGTGTGTGGACAGCACATGCAAGCGATAGTGGGATCTTTGTAACGTGTACCAGGTACGTTTATACTGGACGATAGTAGTGCGATTCATTTTGCATACTATGACATGTAGTTGCTAGTAGTGAATAATTCTTCCAGCTCTGCCCTACCTTTTCAAAAAAAAAATGTATGTCCTTGTTCAGCAGAACAAAGATATCCGCAACTCTGTATCGGACAAAAAGACCAGTATTGGGAATTAAATCCTACTCAATGGTGTTTTCAACAAGAATACGTGGCCTGTTCAAACATCTTTCGTCGTAATCGTAGCATTAGCTGTATATTATATTCGATCCGATTGATGTATCGTAGAAGAAGAAAGCGAATGCAATTATTTTTTTTGGAAAAAATCCACTCTGACCAGCCACAACTAAGCCGAGATGTTAGGAATTTCTATTCTCGAATCTCGCCTAGTTGTGTATCGAACATTAGTATCTCAACCAGCTAGATGGTACGACAGCTAGAGTAGCTAGCGCGATGGGCAAACAGCAGTCCTGGTATCAGGCAACTAGAGCAGCTAGAGACATTACATCGCAGCAGCGGATAGGAACGTTAATGTCTAGCTAAAGCATCATCCCACTTAGATACTACTTACGGGCCATAATGCTGATATTTGGGTATTGCCAACTAGGACCAAGGCAAACCAAAAAAAATGAATAGCAAGATGAAATTGACGTATGAGGTCATCGATCGCAAAGATAGATGAGAAGTGAACAAACTAAACATTCAGAGCTTGCAAAACCATGAATGAACAAGAACGATGACGAAAGTATCATTTCCCACCAATATTTCGTGATGTAGTATCACGTGACCAGAGCGTAAATACATATCGGGATTTCTTTCCAGAACAGATAAACTACCTTCTTCACTCGACACAACTGAGCGATTAGATATCATTTCTATTCCACCATCTCTATCTCGTATCATGATATGATAATAATGTCACCCACGTGACATTCAACAGTACTAGCAATATACACTGCAAAATCGAATTATACACAAACATCAATGCAAATATCTTGATTTATTTTCCCTTCCGTCATACCTAGCAAACCAAGAACAACAAAAGAAAAGAAAAGCCGCAGGAAAGTCCCATTGCGGGAAAACTGCATGACTACAAAGAGGGAATTTAACCCTCCCCCTCCACTCTACATGCCATGAGAAGGAAAAAAAATAAGCTAATACATCAAATCATCAACATCCAATTCCCCCGATGCATACTTAATCCAAGCTCTGAATCTGCACCTTGATACACCCCGTCTTTGGATCCGCAGCCGTCTTAAACGCCTCGACGGCATCCTCGAGCTTAAAGCGATGGGTAACCAACTTCTTGAGATCAATGACGCCACTCTTATACAACCGGATAGCCTTGGGCCAGGTATTGCAGTAGCGGTACTGGAACTGGAGGTCGACCTCGCGGGTACTGAGGCGCATGAAGGGGATTTTGATTTCGTTTTTGCCGACGCCAATGACGAAGACTTTGCCGCCGAACTTGACGGTTTGGATGGCGCTGTTGATGGAGCTTTCGACACCCGTGCATTCCATGGCGTGTGAGGGCTCGACACCCTCGGTGAGCTTGAGGATGGCGGCTTGGAAGTCTTCGGGGGTGTGGCTGAATTCGACTTTGTGGGTGAGGACGTTGGGGACGAGCTCTTTGGCGAAGTTGAGGCGGCCTTGGTCGATGTCGGTGATGACGAGGGGAGTGGCGCCCGCGGCTTGACAGCAGAGGAGGGTAACGAGGCCGATGGGGCCGGCGCCGCAGACGATGACGGGGTCGCCGAGACGGACATTGGCGCGGTCCATGCCTGCGAGAGCGACGCTGAGGGGCTCGAGCATAGCGCCATCTTCGAAGCTCATGCTGTCTGGAAGCTTGTGGCACCACATTGCTGGGTGCTTGAGGTAGCGGCGCAGCAGGCCGGTGACGGGCGGGGTGGACAGGAAGAGAACACGCTCGCAGCCGTTGTAGCGGCCTGTAAGGCAGGGCTCACATTCGCCGCAGATGATGTTGGGTTCGATGGCTACGCGGTCGCCGGGCTTGAGGTGTGTCACTGAGGGGTGGCAGGCCATGACTGTGCCTGCGGATTCGTGGCCCAAGACATGTGTGTCTTCGACAATCATGGGGCCAATGCAACCCTGCATACAAAATCAGCAAAGCTTCTCGTTGAAACGAAATTTTGTTGCAATTTTTTGACAACAAGTCCTGAGCAGCAGTAGGTCGACCGGGGGAACTGAGAAAGAAAAAAGAAACGTACAGCATGCCAGAAATGAATATCACTACCGCAGATACCAGTGCTCTTGACGTTCAACAGAACCTCGCCAGGCTTCAAGTCTCCGCCTCTTTGCACCTCCTCCAGACTTGGCTCTGCCTCTGCAACCCATAGATCGTGGGCGGGGTTGGTGTAAACACCAATGTTTGCCTTTGTGGCCTTGATCTCTGTGGCACTCATCTTGTGATTTTGCCGTTTAGAATACGAAAAGGAAGAAGAAGCGGAAAAGCCTGGGTATATAGTGAAGTGAAGAAGGAAGAAGGAAAGAAAGAGAGAGAAGAGGAGGAGAAGAGCAGAAGAGGGACAAGTACACAGCGAAGCAGATCAGCTGGGCCCGACGGTCTAGGTCCCCAATTCTTTTTGCCCGTCTCGCCTTGCCATGGTCTTTAACCTGTGGTTGTCCCGCCTGGCCATCATTGGTGCGGGGCAGCCAGCACGCGTCGTTGTGATAATCTCTCCTAAACGGTCGCGGCCACGACCCCACTGACAACAGGACCGCGGGTTGAACGGATTACTTCCACGAATGGGAACCCGACAAAGTCCGCAATTGGCCGCTTGGAGCCAGCCCGAGTCAGGCCTCTTGGATGGGGGGTCGGACAACGAAAGCCTGCATGGGGTGGTGGGGTTGGAGCTAGTACCGCTTCTGGTAATGTATCCTGCAGCGCGCCAAGCGACAAAGACAGATTTCACGATACTTCAGCCGTGGTGTTGAGCCTCGGCCTTGAGCCGAGTGTGCATGGTCGGCCGGTGACCGAGTCGAGTGAGCATATCTGGACGCGTGACTTGAAATAGAACGACAAGTATTGGGGGGTTTTGCTACTAATGACACATGGACTGCGTTGGTTGTTGCACCGCATACATACATACTACTTACTCCGGAGAATCTCACCTGCGTATATGTGACCTGCGACTACAACATCTCTTCGACCTAACTCATGACCAGAGACCACAATCAGCCCATACTGCCCCTCTGCGCTTGTATGCGCATCTCGACGCAGAGCCATCCTGTGTCCCATCACGCCACAACGCGTAGGTACAGCGCCGTCACATATACCTCCACAGTAGCTCTTCGCAATCCCAGTTCCCAGTACCATACACATGTAATAGCATCCTGCCATACTCCCGCCAAGAACCCCCTTCATCTTATCCCGCTCGTCTGCCCGGAATACCAAGCCTTCCCATGGCCTGACAAGCCAGGCCAAGCACACCTGCTGTTCCTCAGGCACTCCCTTGTCAATGCGCAAGCTTTCGGAAACCAGATGTGCCGAACGAGCGCCAACAGGCGCGGAGTCGCTCCCCCTGCGCACTCGACGTGATTGACATGACTGACAGGTTACACTGTCGTTCGACAATGGTTCGATGGAAGACAGGATGACTCGCGCACATGGGACAAAAAAAAATGTTCATCTATACTGTACGAATTTTTCCCATCAAGATCTTCAAATTCAGTCAAGCATGTGCATGTATGAAATCAGTGCATGTGTGAAGGATAGTATGTAGTAAAATAGGTCTTCTAGATTTGCATTTGTAGATAGTAGATTGGATATGGAGTAAAGTCGACAGAAAAATAAAAAAGGAAAAATAAAAACAGGTGCACCCGTAGGTTGCTACCTCTTCCAACGGGGGAGCTATGATCATAACATGGGCAAGAACAATAGTCAAATACACGCCTTGAACCAAGATGGTTTTAGTATCGCGAAAAAAGAATCCCAACTAGATTTTTCAACACGTCTAGAAATGCTCCTTCCAGAACTTGAAGTCGACTTCCTGGCAAGTCGCTTGCTTACACGCCTTCTTGATGTCCCGAGCTGCAATATTAGGTCCACAGAAGTAGACTCCCACCTCGGTGCGTAACGTGCTCTCGAGACCGTTCATGTAAGTGCGGTCCAGGATACCGTCACGCATACCGCATAGCAAGCGCTGAAAGTCGGGACGACCAAAGTTGGTACGCGACTTGAGTTCGGTAAGAGGATCCTTGTCCGTGCCCACAGAGTTGAGGACAATGTTTTGCGCTGTGTTAGCATCCATCTTCTGGGTGAGGTAAGTGTGGATGCGCAAGAACTGGTCGCCGTCTGCGCCACCAAGAGACTGTGCTTCGAGAGAGGAGAGTAGCGTTTGGAACCACTCAAAGGAAGACGTGTCTTTGCAGACCCAGATGAATTCGACACGACGGAGACGCTTGGGTGGGTTGGGGCTCAGGCGGAGGTGGTAGATGGACTTGAGAATCGAGGCCCAAGGTGTGACACCAATACCAGTACCAATGAGGACAGCGACTTCGTTTTCGAAGACATCTTCAGCAGGAGCTCCGTAGGGTCCGTCGATGCGGAGGGCAGGCATCTTTTGGCCATGCTGCAGAGCAATCTCGTACATGCCCATGGGGTCCAGCTCGTCGTACAGCTTGGATTGCGACTGACCGGCACCAAGCGCATCGGCGAGCGCACGAGTAAAGTCACCAACCTGGCGGACGTGGACCGAGATATAAGGGTCGTTGGGGCAAGAAGTAATGGTAAATGGATGCCACTGGTAGTAGCTGACTTCCGGGCAGTTCAGGAACAACCACTGTCCAGGCTTGTACTTCATGCTGGGCTTGGTGAACTGGATCTCAACAGCATCGTACGGGTGGCGGACGACCTTGACAATCTTAGTCTCGCGCCTGCAGCGGATCTCACGGTAGAGGCGGTCAAAGAGGTATAAGCCGCCACCAACAAGCTCCCATCGCCAACCCTCGTAACCAATGCAGTGGGTCCAGAAGTTGTCGTGATCAAACGGAGACCATGCTGGGGCTGTATCACGGACGAAGCAGCTGGTTGCGTGTGTGTACATGCCGAGCAAAAACGGAATAAACAGGTGGTGGGTGTACCAGAAGGTCTCGAATGATTGTTGGCGGATCCTGTGGTGGGCCGTGGTGTACATCAGCAGCATGCAAAGAAGCATAATGTGTCCCGTGATACCACCAGCCTCTGCGTAGTGAATCTGAAGAGCGATCTGGGGTCGCACTTGCACACGCTCGACGTTGAAGAAACTACCTTTGTTAGCTTAGACATATGGATTACCGCCAGGCGCCACTCACTTGACATAATGCGCCACAACGTGGAGGATCGTGAAGAACAGCATAGCATAGGCGACTTGTCGGTGGAACCACATGGATTCATCAAGAGGCATAAAGCGCGCCTTGGGTCGCAGCCATCGGAGGATGTTTCGGCACATGGGCATAACGATAACCATTGTGTCGACTGAGAGGACTAGACCAGCACCACGAGATATCCAGACGGAAAACTGAAGAGCGTTGAGAGGTGCTAGACGTGCATCACCGGCTTGCTTCCACCTGTGGTTATGTCAGACATGCGTAACTAATAGTTTGATGGGATCGTGCGTACCATCCTATGGCGAAGATGGCAAAATGAAAGCCCCAGAAGAAGAAATGAAAGGCGAGTTTCGACGGCGTAAAGAGCCGCGACCATGAGACTCCTCCTCCAGACATGGTGGCGGTTGCTGCAAGGCTGTGGTGGTGGTAGTGGTGGTTGCGACGGTCCGTTCAACGGTGATTATGAAAGATTAAAGAGTGTACGCGTAGTAAAAAGCGAACCTCAACCAGAAAAGCAATACGATCCAGTCGAAGTTCGACCCGGCCAGCCAGATACGAAATAAAGAAAAGAATGTCGGTGTCCCGGGACGGGCGGAGTGGTGTGCGAGGAAGAGGGGTGGAGGTGGAGGACGACCCCAAGACTGGCTGGGAACCAAGGGTATTAGAATGTCTAGCCCAGGAACAAGCCGAGCTCACCGACGCAGATCAGTGTGCGAGTCGTGAGGAGCCGCGCAGGAGTGGGTAGAGCGGCACGCTGTGCTGAAACTGACAGGGCCTGGTTCGGTACGGATGTGGCTCAGGCCGATGTCCTGGTAGGCCTCTGGTATAACCAGCTCGACTAAGCTTGATAGATGATCAAATAGCCAGGAAGGGAAGCGATGCAAGGCAGTTGCGGAGGCGCCAATGCCCACTAAGCCTAAGGCGTAGATTTGAGGAGTTGAGGGTAGTGGAGGGGTTCGCAGCTATGCGCGAGCGCCTAGTGTGTGAAGAGCGTCTCAGACCTGAAGCGCCAGGCACAAAACCATTTTTTCCTTGGTCTTTAGGGGAGAAATTCGGGGCTTAACAACGGCTGGCGGTCTCGGGGGTAATGCACGACACCGTGTATGTATGATGGCTAGCGGTATGCAGCGATACGAGCAATGTTTCGCTTTGGCCTTTGTTTGAGGGGTTCAGGTTTTGGTGAGGACAACGGAGAGAAAGAGGCAGCCACAGGATTTGCAACTGAAAGCGCAAAAGTCGACACGTTGATCTCGGCGTCAATCTGACAGGCGCACTTGTCGTGTCGCGGTATTGTTTGGGAGGATTTTTGTCCGGCGTGGGCGGATTTACGAGTGGACTGGGGGAGAACGCTATCTGACGGATCGGGTACTTTGATACGCGAGGTCGTGGTGAAACGGTAGGCGTTGGAAGGCGTGTCGTGAGTAAAATGGAGAAAACAGGCTGTGAATCGGCCAACGCTGTCGTTTGCTATGTTAAAGTCGTGATATGGAAATGGCTAGGATGCAATTTCTTGGGCGTTGGCAATGGGCAGACGGTGAGGGACAAGTGTTTGAGATGGGTCTTGTTCTCAGGTGGCGGCTCTACTCCTAAACTAGGGTGGCCCTACCTCCCCACTAATACACACAATGGATACGGCGGAACAGAACAAGAGCATGGTGTGAGCCCGTCGTAGCTGTCCTGGCGTGTGAGCCGCCGAGTTGTACTCAGAGGCACTTCTCGGTCGTGGTTGGTAGCACTGGATATCGGTCGAGAGGCTGGGCGTGGAGCAGGCGACCAATGGCGGGCAGTCTGCAAGCGCTCAGGTACCCCCACAGAGTTTACGCCCGCTAGTGCATAGTGTCTAGCTGCACGAGTACAAGACGTCGTCGCTATTTTGGTCAGTGGCCGTTGCCTCCGGCTGGATGGATGGAGAGGTGCCAATTGCCGGCCCTATCCACAGTGGGCCTTTGAGCGAGCGAACATCGTTGGCACCCTTTTAGTCTCGCCTTGGTTTGTGTGACGACGGGAGCGGTGTGCAGGTGCAAAAGACGGCCAAGAAGACGACGAGTGCTCTGGGCGATTGAGCTGAGAAATCAATAGCTCAGACAACGCAGAGTCGTGGCTGCGAATGGGATGGGATGGGATGGAGATGGGTTGAGTGGGTTGAGTGCTGGCTCATTCGCAGAGTTGCCGCTGTGGCTTGGACCATTGGGTACGAATTTGTGGCTGTGGCTGGTGCGGTGGCGGTGTCCATCACTAGTATTTTGTACTAGTCGAGGCATTTGTATACATATCAACTTTACTATACTACCATGCAAAATAAACGCAAATCCAACGGCTACAGCACCCACTGCTCGCCGCATAATCTTACCACGCCGCTCGAAAACAAAGTCAGGCCATTGTTCTACCCCAAGATCTCGTTCGGCTCGCTGAACCCCAACCGATCAGCACTTTAACGCTCTCTGTGGCTACGCAATCCTCCGACAACCAGGTAGGAGAAAAGCTTGCCTGCTGCTGCGAACTGATACAGAACGAGTATCGGACCACTTTGTTTTGTCTCGACGGCATTGACAGGATGAACAGGCCTGTGAAGTAAACGTTGTCGTATGATGTTGTTTGATGAGCGTACCTGAGGACCCAGGAGCAGCCTTCGATGTTGTTTTCCATGCAGTAAGGCCGTGGATCGTCATGCGCCCCGCCGAGCACTATCCTGAGGCACAGAGGAGAAACCGGGACTCAGGCATCCGCTGGCTAGGAGCAAGCCATGGCCGTGCCGCATCTGGATGGATGACGGAGAATTCCCAGGCCGCACATGGCTGGTCATGGGTCAGAGAGAGAGAGAGCAATCCGGTGGCGTGGAGACTATCGGCAGCACGGAGACTAGTAGAGTAGGCGAAAGCATGTGGAGGCGTCATGTAGAGATAGCCGACAGCACTGGGATGTGAATATCGCGCTCTGATTTGCATTGGCGGTGGGTGGCATGTTGCTGTCGCCATCAATCACAGGCACGTGAGCGTGAAGAGGTGCTCTTTTTCGCCTTCTTCACCGTCTAGCGCAGGGCGAGGGGTTGGCAGCAAAAGCCAAGCGGCTGTTGCTGGGACGTGATAGGGTAGACGAGCATCCGGCGCACGGCCGCTGTGGCTGCAGCGGGGCCAAGCACGCTCGTCCATCTCGTGCAGACAGCCAATGACCTTGACCACAACCGCCCTCAATGGCAGCCGTGCGGGTCAAGCGGCTACACAATTGACCTGC